TTCCCGCAGCAACGACAATGTCAATAAAAGATTCGTGTTCGTTGGAATGTGTTGGGGGAAAAAGGGCTTTATTCCTGAGCCTTGATTGTCCTCTCTTGTCACATTCACATATATATTTCATGTTATAGTCCACCCACTGAGATATCTATTGGTAAAAATTGTAATTCTCAGCACACTTTTATCAGTGTAAAATGTGTACATGTGTAAGTAAACACACACAGAGAGTCATTTATCTATATCTGTATTTAGACAGATGCAGATATAAATGGTTTAGGTATCTGGCTGTGCCTCCTGCAGTAAGAACCAGCCTGGGTGGCCTTGGGCCAGTGGCAGAGTCCCAGGCCATCCCCAGAAGAAGGGAAGGCGTAATCATTTCTGAGCATGCTCTACCTAGGAAACCCTTGACTGCACATGGTTATTACTGTTATCTTTATACCTGTTTCTATATATCTTATACTTGAATGTACACCAAGTTTGGCCCGCTGTAATATCTATATTTAAGCACATACTATGTTTCACTGTAAATACGCAATAATCTAGATGCCTGAATACATACTATGTTCAACTTGAAATATGTTTTAATAGATGAAATTTTACTGAGTTGGGCTTTAAATGTGCTGTCATGTGCATACTTGAATGTGTACTATGTTCAGCTTTAAATGTGGAGGACGTCCAGACAGAATGTCGTAAGATCCCTGTTCTGTCCAGAGGTTTTCTTTGCTCTGTTCTGACTGATGTCTGTGCTGCTACCTCCCCCCCACACACTCCTTTTGCTGCAGTCCTGCATACCTGGACTTTGACCCCAGAAAAAAGCTGACTAAACTCCTCTGACATCTTAACTCTGTTAGAAAAACAACTTTTTTTCCTTTTCCTTTTTTCTTCTCCTTTTTCCTGACTGTAGGAACAAGATCTGTGAGTGATAATGTATTTCTGGAATCCCCAACACTGATTCCAACCCATGCCCCCCAATTACTGGCCACTTGCAGGGCGTCTTGTTCCCTTTATGTGGATTACAGCAAGATGCCCTACTTGTCAGCTCAAAACTAAGTGGAGAAACTATTTTCATTTCTGCCACATGCAGAACAATCTACTGCACTGAGGGGTTTTTATTTTGTTGTTGTTTAGTCGTTAAGTCATGTCCGAATCTTCGTGACCCCATGGACCAGAGCACGCCAGGCCCTCCCGTCTTCCACTGCCTCCCAGAGTTGGGTTAAATTCATGTTGGTTGCTTCAATGACACTGTCCAACCCTTTTGTCCTCTGTCGTCCCCTTCTCCTCCTGCCTCCACACTTTCCCAACATCAGGGTCTTTTCCAGGGAGTCTTCTCTTCTCATGAGATGGCCAAAGTCTTGGAGCCTCATCTTCAGGATCTGTCCTTCCAGATTAGGGTTTTATTAAACTTCCCTTTTGAAACTGTCCTCACACAGAGAGCAGTGAAATGGGGTGGGGGCAAACCATCATGGACTGGGGCTGTGGGAAGGGATGCTCATTTGTGTAGTGAAATGTTTATGTCAATTGTCATGTGCAATATCAAAGTTGGCCACTAAAGGGGGCTAATCTCTCCCTGTATGTTTTGGTGTGAGCAGCATAAGGCACTAATAACGCAGAATGCAAAACGTTTGCTGGTAAAAGATCACAGCAACGATGATTCTGATGGCAGCTTGGCTGGTGAGGAAGACGTAGAGATGGAGTGAGACACTTTTAAACTGGACCTCAGAATGTGAGCACTGGCAGAAGGTCTTCCTCTGTTCCTATGGTGACTCAAGTTTCAGCTCACTTTTAAAACTCCCTCCACGTATCTTCCAAGTCTATTTAAAAATTTGTTTTGAAACTGCTGACATCTACACCATCTTGATTATGAACTGGGACTAGATTAGCTGGAAAATGGGAGATCTCTAGAGATCGTTAGACAGCCACTGCACATTAGCTCTGTCTTGATTTCCATGTTTAAATGCTCTTTTACTGTAACAACATTAGTAGCTTACTCTTCTTTCGACATGGGCTAGTTTCACCATTCTTATCTTTCCATGGGGTGCTTTTGATTTTAATCGGCTGTCTTGCTCCCCCTCGCCCCACAAATATGCCTCCATCAGGGCTACTGTATGCTGTAATTATGCAGCTCTTCCCTGGAACCTTAACCACGAGTGCTTATCACTAATCAAAACATTAAGGTATGAGTAGAGCACTGTAAACTTGGGAAGGTTAAATTTAGAGGACGTTTCTAACCACTTTAAAGGACAGCGTGCCAACTTTTTAACAGCAGGGCACTTGTGCCGTGAATCGGTACACCAGCAAAAATTTGCTATAAATTACCCCTGTAATTTCTTCTGTTAATTTATTTGTAGCAGAATCTAAATGCATGACCACAACTGGCCTGAAACCAGGGCCTCGTGCCTCATGAAATCACACGGTTTCTGTGGGGCTTCTTCCTTACAGCAGATGTGTTGAAGGTGGTGCATTTAATGCCCTTTTCCAGTGGCTGGGGGCGATGGGCATTGTAGTTCCTTATGACTTGGGGAAGTCTGCCCTAGAACAATCACTCTCAGCCGCTGGTGCATGTAACCTTCGGGGGACACCTTGGGTTTTTCATAATGAGGACGAAGTATATACTCCTCCTTCATCTTCATATTCCTTCTGCAAATGTTATGTGTCATCTCTCACCAGCCTGACCCTATGTGTCCCATGTTAGCCACCTGTTGGCCTGGTAGCAGTATCTGCTGGACTCTGTATCCGCTGTTCCCCTTATCTGCTGTCTTACTGTTGTTGTCGATGCAGTAACCAAATGCCTTTAAATGTCCTTTTCAAGGGGAAAAGTAGTATTTTGTTTCCACCCCAGTGGAATCCCCCCCCTCTCTCTCTGTGCAGATTTGCTCTGGATCACTGCAACTTGCCTCTTGTGCAAAATGCAGCAAACTTCAAGGCAGCTCAGTGGGGGAGAGAAGCAGGCTGCAAGGCCAGCTGTGAAACAGGTTAGGGTGGGGCAGCTGGCTCAGGCTGGGGCGAGGGAGCTTCTGCCTTCCAGATGTTTCGGCTGTGACTCCCCTCAGGCTCACCTTCCTACCTTCCGGCAGATTTTAAATGATGGTGGCAGTGAAAAGCCCTAACGGGCGGTCTGTGTGTGATAGGGTGACGTGTGCAGTAAGTTGGTGGGGTGCTAAGCTGAGCCAGGAACCAGAGCTGGCCCCTTCTTTCCACCTGTGTCTGTCCCCGCGCAGAAACAAGCAAGCAGGCAGGCAGGCAAGGAAGCATCGGCACATACACTTCCTCTGAGATGGTGGCCAGCAGGAGTGAGGTGGCTGGGAATAGAGGAGCAGAGGCTGATGGGGAAGGGCTTGTCTCTGGTGGTGGCCGTGGCAGCTGCCCTTCGCTCCTCCTGGGTTCATCCTGCGAGAGGCCGAAGCCCTGTTTTGTCCCTGTTGCCTTCAGGTGTGGTGGAAGGCCCGGCTGCTGGCGTGGGGGCCATGGATGCGTTTGCCAAGAGGGAGGAGGCCTTCTCAGTCTGGGCCTCTTGAAAGGAATGGCGGGTGCTGTCTTTGAGTGTCGCATTTATGCCCTACACGCGATGCCCCCAGTTTAGCTAACTGGGGAAGCAACACCGCTTTGTTTACATGAGGTCTGGCCTTGAAAGATGATTTAGGTGCCCTGCGGGATAAGGTTGCGAGAGAAGGAAGCACGAGGTCGGCCCTTTGGTCCTGGCTTGCTTTTGGATCGCGCTTGAGGTGGGTGTCTCCCTGTGGCCCTGGAAGATTTGCGTGCCTGAAGGGATTACCCTAAGAGGGCAGGAGATGGGCGCGGGTCTTAAGGTGGCGATCCCACCCCTGGAGTGACGGCAAAGGTGGCGCCCCTCGAGGGCGGGCGGGCGTGTGTGTGCCGGTGTCCCCCGACGGAGGGCGCCCTCTCGGCCCGGCTCCTGC